ACTCAAAATGAACAGATCTGCACCGTTCACTCTTTCACAACCAACATCATAAACAATACCGGAATATTTCGATCAAAACTTGAATTACCGCAACCAGAAAAACTTCTCCATTGCACATATTGCATTCCACTAGTACTATACTGATTATCGATAAATTTATGCGTAAAAAGCATTCTTTACAGTAAATTTCAATTTGTCTCATAAGTTCTCTCTTTTATGGAAATAAGAGATTCTTAACCAAACTCTAAAAATGAAACGTTCTTTTTCTCAGCTACAATATACTCCTACCAATAACCTGGTACGTGTTTGCGTACTGCTGCTGATTTGCATACTGTTGGGCAGTAATACTATTGGCATTATCAACTGAAGGCATCGTGTAAGACGAGTTTAATTGTTGTGGTAAAGAATTTGGTATTACTCCTGCGGCAGGTTGCTGTTGATATACACTGTAGTCCGAGCCGACGAGCATCGTTTGAGGTTGTGCTTGCGATATCATTCCTTGTTGTTGTGGGTACATAAATGATTGTTGCTGCTGTTGTGGAATAACTTTACCATTATAAGCAGCACTTAATACAGGGTTAGATGCAGAAGATATGGGTACTTGCATTTTACCATTTGATGTTACCTTAAGTTATATCAGTCAAAGATATAGATAACAGTTGAAATTCAAAAAGAAACAGACTTTGTGAAAACGGAGCACGATCAAAAATAATACTTCAAAAAATCGGCTTGAGCATGAAAGTGTTTCTCGGAATTCTGAGAAAAAATTTTCCGAAAAGTCGCATCGCTGGATTCGTATTTCGAAATGGATTTCCAAAAAAGAAAATCGCACCGCTGGATTTGAAAGAGACTGCATTGGTGTTTGGGAATCAGATTGCATGATTGGTTTTTGCTGTTGTTGCGAGTGATCAGTTCCGTTCATTACTGGTTGTGCCATAGATTGCTGTTGCATCGGGTACTGCGCTTGTTGCAGTTGGGCCACATTAGCCTGACCATTCACCATGTTTTGTTGATTGACCTGTTGTTGCGACGGCGATGTAACCTGAGGTGCCAGCGAAGTAACAACCTGAGTTTGAGACTGAATCTGATTTGCACTCGAAATCTGCTGTGGTACAGGCGGTGCTAGGGACTGGTTAGGATCAG